ACTAGACAGGGTTTAGCAAAGAACTTGATCAAACTCAATGATGACCCACCTTGAAGCTGGAATGGAGAAGTGTCTCATCCATATCGAGTACCTGGGCCGCTGTCAGTCTCCATCAACGAGGCGAGGAAAAAGCAGTCCAACTCACCAAGCACTTCCTTCCCTTGTGCTTTTCGGCGACAGGAGGAAGCAAAGGCTTTGGTTTTCCATCAACAATAGGAATTCCACTTCCAGCGTTCATGATCAACCTCATCTCTTCCGCATCGAGGTCTTCTTCTTCCTTGGCATCATGGAACTCGTCGTCGGTGTAAGCGCCACCATCCGTTTCGTCACCCGTCTTTTCGGGGTGAGCAGTTGAGCCGGGGGGCTGAACAGCGCCGCTCGTTACGCCCTCGGTTTCGTCGACGGGCAAGAGGTGGGATCCCTTGGGGGTAGGGGGGATGACGACGTCCGGGTCGGGATCGAGATCAAAGGTGTTGTAGGTTGGTGTGCTGGGTGCGGTGATGACGACTGGAGTGGAGGGGATAGTGAGGTGGGGGGAAGGAACGGCCGAGGTTGCATGGAGCGTGGTGGATGCGGCACCGTTCGATCCAGCGCGCGAGGGCGAGGTTTGGACCATGGTTTCGTCGGTTAGTTTATTAGAATCAGCTTTATCGTCGTCTTCGGCTCTTTTGGCGTATGCAGCATTTCGAGGGTCTCTTGTAACATGAATGTCGTGAGGAGCTTCGGGGTCGTCGAGACAGGGGTTAAAGCAGGAGAACAGGCGACGCCAGAAGCTTCGTTTCTTTTTCGTGCTCTTCTTGAGACTGTCGTCTTCGTCGTGTGCGAGGGGGCGCTTGGTCGTGCCAGTCGCCATCGCGTGTTCGTTATGGGTCTATAAAAAAGGGGGGAGGAGAATTGTATGTTAGCAGGAGAGGTGGGGGAGGAAAATGGAAAAAAGAGCAAGACTTGCTTTGTCCATGCTGTCGTGATCGTCGTTTTGTACGATAGTTTCAGAGGCAGATGCTGAACGATCAGGATGTGCGGCGCGGGGCATGAAGCAGCGGGGAGAAGAGGGGAGAGGAGGAAGAGGAGAGAGTTAAGAGATTTCAACGAGTGGTTTACGAGTCGCAGACGTTCAAGTCGAAATTGGGCGACCGCTGGCTTGTGTGCGCCCTTGCCGTACCAGAACCCAATCGTGGTGGACTCCACGTGCCTCGTCGTATGTCCCAACTCGGACGATCCAACGAGCGCCCCCGTTTCTGAACATTCTAAAGTGCTGCTCATCCAAATATAATCAATTTTTGTAGCTACAGGGGTATTTACACGATTATTTAACGGTCGGTGATGGGGCGAGCAGACCCAGCGAGGGGCTTCTTCGCGGGCTGTATACAACAGACGAGACCGCCACTTTTGAAGGCCGAACTCCGATCACCAGCGCTCCCTCTATCCAGGGTCCCAATAGTTGAGGATGCGCAACGCAAAATGCACAATAGTGTCTATCAACTGGGGGCATTCTGGGTGTTGTTCGCCGTTTTAGGCAAAATGCTGGCAACGTGTTCCATCGAGCAGGCCTTGTGGCACGAACTTGACTCTCGATTCGTTCGCGGGCTCAGATGGGTGAAAAAACGTCGCAGTAAATATTCTGAATATTCGATAAAATTGAACGGTGGAAGCTGTTTTTGGGTTTTGCGTCGAGTCGAGCGCAGGTATGACGTCTCGCTATGACGCACTCGGAAAATGCCATTCCACTGGGTTTAAAAGGGCCTTGTGCTCAAACCAACTTCGACCCGACAACTTTTCTCTCCTCTCCCGAGTATCTGCAAACATGTCCTACGCCTCTGCAAACTTGAATACCAACACCAGCGCACTCCCTGACGCGCACATCAAGGCCACCACCGACCCCGACAAGGCCAGGAAGGAGCGTGCAAAGGACAAGCTGCACAAGGCCGAAGCAGAGGGTGAACACCTCTGGGCAGTCGTCCAGGAAAAGCTTTTCCAGCCTGCCGTAGCTGGTGGATTGTTCTCTGTCGGTGAGTGGCGTCGCCGTGACGTTTAAGAGTAGTACGGTTCCTAATGCACGCCTCTAGTCAATCTTGGTGTGATTGGTGGTCTTGGATACTTGTTCTATACCCAGCCAGAATACCGCAGCGACTACAAGGTCATTGGCAGCTCCGTAGTCGGAACACTGCTCCTGTTGGGAGCCGAAGGCTCTATGGCCGAAGCATATCTCCAGACTGAAGAAGGTCAACGCGAGAAGCGACGTGCTCAGGAAGAGGGTTCTGCCCTCTACCGCCAAACCAGAGAGGTGGTTCTTCGCCCAGGCGTTTTCGGTGGACTCCTTGGTGCCTGTAAGTAGTCGTATACTTAAAAGATAATCTCTAATCTGCCATAGTCAATGTGGGTATCATTGGTGGCTTGGGTTACCTCTCCTACATTCACTGGAACGACCCTGTCTGGGATCGCCGCTATGTCACTGGAATCACTGCCGGAACCGCCGCATTGTTTACTGCCCAAGGGTATGTTTGTCTCTAACTGTATGGAGAACCCAGATCGCTAACTCGGCACCAGCTTCCTCGCGGAGCAGTACCGCGAGAAGGAATACCCAAAACGTAAATATTAAGCATGTGCCATACCACCATACATCGGACAGTATCGACTCTCGTAACAAATACTGTTTGTTTATAAGCATTTATGAATGTAATACCGCTTTTTGTTCTTGTGCATCCCCTAAACCTTCCTC